GAAGCCATTTGAACCATTTCACCCTCTGGCATAAGCAGATGGAAGTGCAAGCTAAGCATTTCATTAAGGAAACCCCAGTGAACTACTCAGTTTTCTTAAAGGGGCACGGATGCTCCTGCCCTTCCTGGGGTGAGCCGTGCTAAGAGGGGAGGAGAGGCCAAGGGTATTTGATGATGTGTTGGTTGGGCTGAGGGGTCGGTGTGGCCCCCCTGCCTCTGGGGCAGGAAGATTGTGTCTGGAGTTGCCCAGCCCCATGTAGGGACAGTTCTGTAACTCCTGAAATGAGGAGCCAGTTCGTTTCATGTGAGATGAGGGTCATGCTGCTGTCAGAGAGGTTCCCTGGCGGAAATGATCTCTCTACCTGAAAGTATTGTGTCATGGTGTAGAGAAGTGTTAGGAGGAGCAGGCTTTGCACGCAAGCTTCAAACCCCATAGATGTCTCTTAATGCCTAGGCAAAGACTCCTGATGGGAGATGCTTTCTCAAATGGCAGAGCCTTTACACTGGGTGCAATGGAGACTTCACAGCCCTTCCTGAGAATTTAATTTCCTCTGGGATGACAGGCACTATCTGTTTTTGCTGGAAGTGTTGATGGTGCTGACTTCCCAGCAGTTGTGCTGTCTCACGTGCTAGCTCAGAGGTGTCCCTTCCACAAAACATCCATGGCAGGAAGTGTGACGCCAAAAGCCACCCCAGCTGAGGGGCTGCGCTACAGACACATGTAAACCTGTGACAGCTGTGCATTTTCGTATCATTCTGTTGGGGAAGGACTGTTTTTCAGAGGTTTGGCCTGATGGACTCGGCCCATTCAGGGAAAGCTGGGAAAACTCCTGCTCAGTTGCCCTATGGGAGTGGGGACACCCAATTTGCTTTCCCAGTGTGCTGCTGGAGTGTCACAGGGAGACTCACCTTTGCTTTGTCTTGTTCAGGAGTTCAAGGAGGGTCGCCGGGCCAGTCACACAGCCCCACAGGTGCTCTTCAGCCACAGGGAGCCTCCCTTGGAGCTGAAAGACACAGACGCGGCCATCGGCGACAATATTGGCTACATCACCTTTGGTAAGCAGGCAGCTTTGAGGCCTGGGGATGCTCAGGGAGGAGAGAGGTTCCTGCTGCTGCGTGAAAAACAAAAAGGAATTCACCTCCCCTGAGTGTTTAAATGGGTCACTGGAGGCTAAAGGGGCTCTGGAGTTGCATTCTGCGTTGTCTACCCCCTTCGGTGCGTCCCTTTGCTGTATTGGGTCACCTCAGCTCTGCCGTGGGCAAGAAGGGCTGGAAGTGGACAGTGAGCCGTTTAGTGTCTGCCTACAAAATAAGGTCGGCATTTGGAATAAAGAGAAAGGTGCCTTTGCTGTGATATTGTGGAAACTGGAGGTTTCTTGTGGGAGGTTTCACGTGAGTGTATTTGTAGCTTGTCCAGCTGCAGGTACCTGTGCAGTGCTTGATCGGCAGAGGCAGAGGGCAGCGGCAGGGCAGTGAGTTCTGCGTCTCCAGCTCTGCCTCTGCTCTGAACCAAACACTTCCATGTCTGGTCAACCACTTCCCCCTGCCTGCAGAGCTGCTGGCCAGCAGAGCCATCGCTTCCTCCTGGGCAGCAATGCTGACGGCTGAGCTGAGAAGTCCAAACCCTGCCCTGTTCAAAGGCAAAGGTCTCTTCCAGAGAAATCTGGCATCATGGTTAGATGTGCCATTAGGGTCTGCCTCAGGCTGGCACTCCGGCGGTTCAGAGCTCAGAGGTGGAGCACAGACATTGCAGGGGAAGGTGAAGTTAGCACTGCCCTCCTCCCGTGGTGAGAACTGTGGTGCCCTGAGGTGAGGACAGCTCGTCAGCTATGGTAGGGCTGTCTGACGGCAGGTCTGGGATGGCGAGCAAGACTTCATTCTTGTCGATACACAGTTTCCCTGTTATCTGATCTGACAGTCCCATGTGAGATCATCACCCAGACAAAAATGTCTTTCAGCCCTTGGATCTGGGACACTTAGCACAGCACCAGCCTATGACAAGAGCAAGCCACTGGACCCCTGCAGTAACCTAGTTTGGCTCTGTCATAGGACCAGCAAGCCGTTGGGTGGGCCTCCACAACTGATTTCATGATTCAAGGGCAGGCTGGGTCTTGAAATCAGTTGAGCAGCCTGGCTGCCCTTGTCTGCCTGGCAGCTCTCTCCTCTTGTTTGCTTCTCACAAGCGTTGAAGTAGCGTCATGCAGTTTCCTACAGTGCCATCATCTCTGGGCATGTGGCCTTGCCTGTGTCCTCTGGAGTGCACGGCTGTGACCAGGCTGCTGCAGGAGATGTGGAAGAGAGCTGCTAAGCCCTATGTTTAAAATCACAAGTGCTGCGTAATCTTGATACGTGTCATAGTAAAGGGCCCTTTGTAGAGAGCGAAGCAGGCGTTTGGAGCTGCATGCCCTGAAGCCTCCAGCACTGGAAGAGCCTGAAGCCTTGGGAAGTGCTAACGGTTTGTGTCACGCTCTTCTTTCAGTGCTGTTCCCCCGTCACACCAATGCTGCTGCCAGAGACAACACCATAAACCTGATCCACACATTCCGGGACTACCTGCACTATCACATCAAGTGCTCGAAGGTACCAAGGGGATGGGGATGGGGGATACAGGGTAGCTTCGGCCTGTCTCACCTGGGTGCTGCAGGAGAGGAGCACGGTGCAGGTGTGTCCCCATGAGAACTCACTCGGGTCTGACGTTGCCCTCCCCAGTCACACCGGGTTGACAACTGATGCATCATCACTTTGCCTGTGCCAAAGAACAGGGACAGTGCCTGTTTGCTGCCCATCCTAGCAGCAAAGTAGGGTTTTTTTTTCCCTTTTGAATCTGTTTTTTTTTCTCTCTGGGAACAGAAATAAGGGTAATTGTTCAGTGAGACCTGGCTCTGACCAGTGCTCAGGCAGTAACTTTCACTGTTGCTGCCTGAACTCCCCTCGTAGCACCGTGGCTGTGCAGAGCCGAGTGCGTTCCCAACAGGGAGCAGAAAGATAGCTCCTACCACGTGACCTGAAGTCTCAGCTATGAAGACAGGATCCTGACATCCCTCATTTTGTCCCAATGAAACACAGGCCTATATTCACACGCGTATGAGGGCGAAAACATCGGATTTCCTCAAGGTTTTTTTTGGACCCGTGCCCGTCCAGACGCAGAGAAGAAAGAAATGAAAACAATCACGTGAGTAGCAAAGCAGGCCTTGGCTCTCTGGGCTTCTCTGCCAGCCATGAGCTTGCTCCTCCTCAGGTTGGCATACTCTGGTCCAGGGAGGACTGGGATGCTGTGGGGGTGACCAGACCAGGGCCTGATATGCTGGGACCCCATGTGAGAGAGAAAATAGGTGTTTCATAGTGAGGTACTTGCCTGGATACCTTGAGGCGAACGATTGGATTCAAGGTGTGTTGGCCTCCCAGGGTCCCTGTTCTCCCACCCCACACTCACTCACTGCCTCACGTGTCCTTTGTAGGAGCTGGGTCTGCGGCAAGGTGGGTCCTTTGCGAAAGAAGGCTTGTATGTGGCTCTGTGAGCCCTGGTGTCTTCACCGTCCCCTTCATGAGCCCATGGTGGCATTTGTGGGGCTTTTCTCCTGTTGTATTAAAGCTGGCTGATCGGCTCTGGGGGAAGCTGCAGCTCACAGCGGGGGGGAGTGGCCAGGTGCTTCCTGGGGGGTTGCAGGTGCTAGAGTGAGTTTGTGCTGCTGCCCAGTGAGTCTACAGCTTCTGGGAGCCCTTGACCAGCAGACGGCTGGGGCCAGGAGTGCTGCCAGACCACCACATCTGGCTGGCTGGCTCCCTCTTGTGAAGATGTGGATGGAGGAGAGTGTTGCAAGAACATGTTTCCCTTGTGTCCTTTACCCTCTGCTGATCCCAGAGCCCCTTGGTGTCCTCTTTCCATGCATCCTGGCGTGTCCCCTTTGCGTTGTGCTCCAGGGCAGCAGGGCTGGCCCCTCTGTGAAAGCCAACCCCTCTCCAGAGCCCCGTGACCTGGTTCTGCAGCCACTAATGCCTGTGAGCTCTGAACCAGTGTTACCTGCCTGGCTTTGATAGCTCGGTGCAAGCATGTGCCCTACCAAAGCCCCGTGGCCACCCTGGGGCACCCCGGAACAGCACCAAGGGCTGTGCTGACCTCTCTCTGCATCCTTTCAGGGGGAAGACATTCACAACCCGTTAACGCCAGGGTCACTGAGGCTGCCGTGGAGGACAAAGGTTGGGGCACTTGCTACCTGATAATCGTAGCTTTTAATGTTGCACCCCTGTGGGCTCATAAGGAATTCAAGCAATCGGGGTCTGTTTGTACGACAGTTTGGGGAGTAATCTGCAGAAACGAGCTGTGCTTGCGAGGACTCGATCGTTCCAAGAAACAAAACCTTAATTCCAGTTTGATTGACTTAATTTCTTTTCTTTTTTAATTTTTTTTTTCTTTTCAAGCTGTTTCGCTTTGCAATATGTTACCGGAAATAAGTTGCAGTATTTCTTATGAGAATAATGCAATATTAACTTGTTTTCTTCTGAGTATTTGAGTTCAAAACTCCTGTATCTGAAGAAATACTGTTGGGGTTCATTAATAAACGAGATCTTTCTATCTTAAGAGGCTGTGGGCTTTGGCTTGTCAATGCATGGGGCCTTGCACTGCAAAGGGTGTTTGGAGTCACAGGCACAGGGGGGATAATTACTGTATTTGGAGCAAATAACTTCTGGCACTCTGTCTTGGGGCCTGAAGGCGGGGTGCTGTGCCCAGGTCTAGGAGTGAGTATCCTGTTGTGTTAGAGAACTCCTGGGCTGCACAGAGCAGGATTTCTCCTGCCCTCAGCTAGCAGTCTGCACCCCTCCCTCCTACTACCCTGACCCCCTTGTTCCTCTAACAGGGAGAGCTAGGATGGGACTCTGTGCCTCCACCCAGACCAGCATAAAACTGTCTGCTATTGATCCTCAGGCCATGGTTGGGAGGAGGGAGGGAGCACAGCTCCCCACGTCCTCTTCCCCCCCCAACAAGCAGAGTGGATGCCATCCAGTTAAGTGAAATAATTTATATAATTATAAGACATTTTCATACAAAACCCCAGGCTTGGCCCCCAGCTGGTAAGGGCAAAGTGGGGCAGGCTGGAAAATTACAAAGCACAGACTGGAGAAGGGTGGCGAAACCCATCTCCCCCATCCCTCTGTACACGAGCCACCTGGCAGAGCCAGGACACAGTCCCTCAACACAGCTCCTAGCGATCGGGGCGCTGGACGCAGAACACTTTGGCTTGGTGGTCGCCAGAGGTTGTCACCACAATGGAGGCATCCCTAGGGGGAGAGAGGGCTCAGAGATTGGGATGAGGGCTTTGGGCATCCCTCACCAACACCCCTCTGCCCCACTCCCCTTTGAGACCCCCAAGTCTCAGCATGGACTTGGGTCTGTTCCCCCCTCAAGACCAGACCCTGGGAGTACCCAGAGGAGCGCCAGCTCCTGATTCCAGTTCCTGAGGCTGGAGGCCCCTGCCACCCCTGGTCCCTCCACCCGTCAGGGAAGGGCTCTATGGGTTCCATGCTCACTTGTTGACGGCGAAGTCGAGGATTTCAGCCGAGTGCCCGCGGTACTCGCTGATCATCTTCCCCGAGCGGGCGTCCCAGATCCGCACGGCCCCGTCCAGGCTGCAGGTGTACACCACGGCCGAGCTCTCCTCCCACACCAACTGCACAATCCCTGACTGCAGCAGGGGGAGGCCACAGGGTGAGCACTGGGGGCCCTCAGCAAGTCTCAGCTTTCCCCATGTGCCTCTGCCTCTCCCCGCCCCCCAGTGTTGTCTGCCATCCCCACAGACAGGAGAGTCAGGCCCCAGGGCCAAGCTGTGAGGCACACCCTCTGTGCAGGGACTGTGGCTGCCTTTGGGGAAACCCAAGGGGCTGAAGGAGAAGCACAAAGTGGGAACTGGCCCCAGGAAAGCCCCTGGGCTCCAAGGGAGATCTTGGATGGGCCCAGAGACACCCTCTCCAGGCCTAGGGAGAGGGTGTAGGGCAGTACCTCATGTTGGCACTTATGCCTCAAGCTCTGTGTGGAGAGGTCGTAGATAGCCAGCGTGCCATCCAGGTAGCCCACAGCAGCCAGTGGCATCCTGCAGAGAGGGGGACGGGTGTTAGGTGGGCCTGGGGGGAAGCAGGGGTGGAAATGCATGAAGGATGAAGGTTGAAGGCAAAGCACATTAAGAAGATGAGGGACAATGTGATGACTGGAGCCATGAAACACCTCAGTTCAGGAAACCAACAGGACAGTGAGAGACAGCAAATGCCCAGGGTTCACAAGGGAGAAGACCACGCCCTGGTAGGAAACATGCCCAGCAGCCCTGTCTGGAGGGTATCCCAGCCAAACAGCAGTCCATCAGGCTAGCCCAGAAACCTAACAGGTTGAAGGGAGGACTGAGCAGCTGGTGTCCTTTGTCTTCTCTGCCACATAAAAGTAACCTGAGATACCCACAGCCAACTGGGGAGGACAGGGGTGAGAGCAGAACGAGCACGATGGACAGAAACGGGTCTGTTAGTAACAAACATCCCCCTGTAAGGTCTGGCACTGAAGGGGGACTGTCACCCCCAGGCCATGCATCCCCATACTCACACGTTACAGAAGCCCAGCGACTCCACCGAGTTGGACTCGGCCTCCTCGCCCTCACCGGCAGGGGCCTTGGGGGCCACGCTCTCCATCTTGAACACACACACCACCTGAGGAGAGGGGAAAGGGACCCCCAGTCGCACCAAGGTCCCCTTCCTTACCCGGGATCAAGCCTACACTCCTTGGACACCAAGGCCCGACACCAAAACCTCAGCTCTTCAGAGCAAACAAGGGGGGAACGTCCTTCTACGCACCCAACGGGACCACCCAGCTACAGGTCCCACCAGTAGCTGGGAGAAACCAGTCGTGTTGGCCAAGGGCGCCTCCTGCTGGCCGCCGGTGGCCACCACAGGCTGCTCAGAGCCGGTAGAGCTCTGAAGCACCCGGGGACACACCTGGCTCTGGGCAGCGGCTTGGGAGGCCGCTCCCCGGTCGCCCAGGTCTCCTGGCTCTGCCTCCACCAGCACGGACCCACCTTGCCCGTGGTGGAGTTAACCAGCTTAGCGTGACAGTCCACAGAGCCCGTCATGATCAAACTGCCGTCCTGGTTGCTGGCCACACACGTCAGGGGGTCCTGGTGGCCGTCCTGACCTGGGGAGCGAGCAGGAGAGGCATGAGCTCCATGTGTCCTTCCCATGGAGACCCAGCGGGCCTCGAAACCCGCCCTCCTGCAGCCTCCACCTTGCCTGGCTCTGCCAGCACCCCAGTGGCAAGGAGCAGCCATCTGTGGGGACAGAGAAACCCAGCTCCAGGATTCCTCCTGCAGCCCCTGGCCTCAGAGCGTGCCACTTCTTCACCCGGGCAGAGGTCAGAGCCCACTGGAAGGGCCCGTTCCCCAGTGAGGGAGTACCTCAGATGATTAACCTCTCCCTACCTTTCAGGACATGCAGCGAGGTTCCTTGCTTCAGGTCCCAGATGCGCATGGTCCCATCCTCGTACCCCACCACCGCTCGCTTCCCTGGGTGAGACAGAGCCAGTGGATAGAGCCAGAGCTCCCCTCACCCCTCCACCTCCCACTCAGCACAGACTGGCAGATGTAGGAGGGCAGATTGTGGACCAGGATCTGTCACAGTGCTGGTGACATTCCCCACCCCAGACAGCCCCCATGCCTCACCGTCAGGCAGGTGGCCCCTGCCACACGTGGCCGGGCACGCAGGGCCCTGGAAGGTTTTGCAGTCTCCGCTGGGGATCTTCCACATCCAGGAGTTGCCATCAGCCGTTCCCGCCAGAAGAACATGGGCTTGAGGGTGCCACTCCATCCACTGGGCAGAGAGAGGGACAGGCAGTGTCACAGGGGTGGCATCCCCTCCACCACCCAACTGAGTCCCAGCTGCTGGCCTACAATCTCCCCGCAGCACCAGGGGTCCTGCTGCTCACCTCCAAGTCCCCCACCTCGAAGGACCACACTTCTTCCTTGGCGTCCACCCGCCACACTTTGATAAGCCCAGACATGTCACCCGTGGCCACAAACACAGAGTCATGACTGAAGCCAGCACAGGTGACCGAGTCCTTGTGTCCTAGAGATGTCAGGGGACAGAGACTGCTCAGGCCAAGTTATGGAGGACAGTCAGGAACCCGGCTCCAGCGGAGCATCAGCTTGAGAAGAGTGTGTCCGGAGAGACACGGCTGTGAGGGGACACGGCAGCTGCCTCGGACAGCCTCAAGCACCTCACCTGAGCATTCAAACAGGAGCTCTCCATCGCTCACGCGCCACACAAAGGCCTTGTCGTCCTCCCCACCCGTCACCGCCAGCGTGTTGGTCTTGGGGTCGAGGCTCACGCAGAAAACAGAGGCTTCGCAGGAGAGAAGACAGAGGCTACACGGCTCAGATGCTGCTCACATCCCACCCAACGTTCCCAGGGGATCCAAATCCCACACAGTACCAGGTCTGGGTGGGATGTCAGTGA